AAACATGCGTACATATGTATGTATGTACATCCCTTCCCCTGCAAAAATCGTTGGACCATGTAGTCTATTTGTGGTAAATTGGAGTACTTACAAAAGTGTTCCTCTGTCATGCTGTAGCGGACCAACTCGTGTCTCTGCGCCAGCTTATTGTTTGTTATCCGATCACTGCTCGTGTTTTAACGAAACGTGATTGAAGTTGTGCATTGAAAGCACATTTGCATGTCTTTTTTTTTTTCTGGGATGACGCCCGTGAAGAGGGAACTCTCATGAGTACTACTATACCGGAATAGTAGTATGCACGACTTGCAGCCTCACAGCTACACCTGCGTACTAAAACCTCTCCACTAACCACTCTCCCCGCGGCACTGCCATTTAAGGTATTACCTCACGGGGCTGGTTGGACAGCAGGCTCGCTACGTTATTTAACCGGTTCTAGCTTGTTCAGATCGCCTTAGATCTTTAAGAATTCCAGAGATATGTGCGCACATTTTATGCCAGTTCTCTGCTGATTCTAACATGTAGTCTACAATGTTGCTACCCTGTAGTATATTTCGGGTTTCAGGGGCATAGCGAGGGCAAAAGAATACTATGTGTTCCGCGTTTTCAGCAAGGCCTGTGCAAGTCGGACAGTGTGGGGAATCTCCATGCCCAAATCTTTTTAGATACTCTCGGTAGGGGCCATGTCCCGAAAGAAACTGTGTCAAGTAGTAGTTTGAATCTCCGTGGGCTCTTTCCAGCCAGTTTTTAATGCATGGAATAAGCTTATGAGTCCACCTACCCTTTTCCGATCCATCCCAACGCTTTGCCAGATCTCCATAGAGCGACACCTTTCCTGCTCTATAACTTCTTTTCGGTTTAAACTGGTACTTCCCACAGATACCCGCTTATACACTCTTTGCATCTCTTTTGCCAGGATATCTACGGGAATCAGTCCGGCAATTACGAAGGGTGCTTCGTCAGATATGGTTCGGAATCCACAAATAGTCCTTAGTGCGCTTAGGCGATACACAGATGTGAGTATCTTCGCATGATATTTTAGGCTCATTGCATCAGACATTTGCATGTCTGGCTGTAGCTGAACGTGTAGAGGTGCTCGCTGTTAGTTCTTAGCTCCCAGCATGTTCGGGTTCGAAACCCGTCAGAGGCAACATGTAATTTTTAATTTTTGTCTTGGTTTTTATTAATTTCGAAAAAGCATTTGAGAAGTGAAGAACAAAAGCGTGTACAAACGAAAAAATATAACAACAATGCCATTGTTAATATGTTGGAGTAGTTTTGTGCTACTCTGATGTAATGCAGGGATGGAGTATATGGTCCTGCCCTAGGACATCGGAATGTTAATTGGACCATATTTTTTATATGAATTGTGGTTAATTTTGGAGTACTCCTTGGTCCTTATGGGGTACTCTTTACACGCATGCATGGAGTAGACGCGATTTTTGCGGGGTCCATCCTCCGATTCGCATTCGCGCAAATATAGCATCCCTGACTTGCAGATTTCTACCGGTTGCGCCGGCGTTCAAACCCAACCACTCGCGTTCTTATTAAATTGAATTTATTGCATTATTTATTGTGTATCGCACCACATATGTACATACATACTCGTTTGCACAAACGAATCGCGTATTTCGGGATTTTTGTGTTAATAAATACATATGTACGTATGTACCTACAAAAATTTGCAAGATTACATCAAAGTGCTTTGCTTATTACACAAATTCAGTAGTTTTTCACTATTTAGTCTTCTTGCGTATGCATTTGTTTTCTTTTGTACTAAGATCATATCCCTGTTCAGTGTTTACCTTTTATACTATCATACCGGTTGCGCGGGGTTAGGACTCAATCACATAAATTCTGATTAGATTTGCATCTATTGCTATCTTTCCTCTTTGGGTACATTCGCCACACAACATATGTATGTGCGAACACACAACTGCCTGGGGTTTGCGAAAATTTGAAGATTGCTGTGCTAGCGTTAAATGCTCAATATTTACATATGCATTAAGTATGTATACAAAGCAGTGGTTTAACTCCTCTCTAATTCTCGCGTATTCGCGCTATTGTCACATCCCTTTGTTTACGTAGAATTCATAACAAATTTGAACCGGTTGCGCCGGTGTTAGGACTCCATCATTTTAAATTCTTATTCGATTTGCATTTGTTTTCTTCCATTGATCTAAATGCTGCTAAATCGTAAAAATTAAAATACAGTAATTCCCGGTATATATACTCGCAGCCGTACGTTTTTTACGGCCAACTGCGTTACGTGCCTAAACACAGTTTTCGGCAATAATTAATATCGAGTTCGTTTCTCAAAAGTTGCGTTAAAACTCAATTACTTAAGTTCTTATTAGATTTGCATTTGTTTACATTTTTTCCCCCATTGAGCTAAATACTTTTTGCAAAGTGCTTTATTCGCGTTAATTGCTAAATCGTCAAAATCAAAATACAGTGGTTTGGTTGCGTTAATTACGTGGTATGTATACACTAACAGTCGTACGTTTTTACGGCAAGTTGCATTACGTGCAGAACACAGTGGTGTTTTTAGAAATTAATATCCCGTTCGGCTCTCAAAACTTGCGTCCAACCCAACGGCCGATTGAAATTTTCGGCAAAGCTGTGAATTATATATTTTATATCCCTATTAGATACACGTATATTATATAAATAGCTTACTTCCCACGTATATATCGTCATTTACTCCACACGTATATATTTGTGGTTAATAAAGAAAAAATAAATAAAGATAGATTTTCTACGTTTTTTCTTACGGCTCGCTGCCGTGCGTTAGCGTAACAGACAAGTTCTTTCAAGGATTAAGAAAATAGTTCCCTGTCACGGTACGGATAGCAATGAAAGTCGACATTTATTTTTAACAAAACCAATTTCTCTCCTGAATGGTTTGCGAACTGTAAGCCAAACAGTTATCAACTTCTATCCCGTGTTAACGGTCAAATTAATAAAATTCAGAAGAACGCGGTCTGCGTTAAATAATTTTTGCAAAATTATTTGTTTTTTCAAACTTACCGGTTGATCTGATTGGTACCGTGGTCGATCCCGTCGAAGATTCGACTAATTTATTATCTCTCTATCAAGGTTGTTTGGTACGTTTGCCATTCACCTTAACAGACGGCGAAGATTCGACAAATTTTTTCCCCTCTCTCTAAAGGTTGTTTGGTACATTTGACATTCACCTTAACATACGTCGAAGGTTCGAATAATTTTTTATCTCTCCCTAAAGGTTGTTTGGTACATTTGCTATTCACCTTAACACACGTCGAAGATTCGACTAATTTTATTATCTCTCTCTCAAGGTTGTTTGGTACGTTTGCCATTCACCTTAACATACGTCGAAGGTTCGACTAATTTTTTATCTCTCCCTAAAGGTTGTTTGGTACATTTGCCATTCACCTTAACATACGTCGAAGGTTCGAATAATTTTTTATCTCTCCCTAAAGGTTGTTTGGTACACTTGCCA